GCGGCACCTCTCGCACCACCGCGGTCGCCGGCGCGACCCCCAACAGCGCCTCCCCTGACACGCAGCGGTGCCTCTGGGCGGGAGCGGCGAGGCACCCGCCGGCGCAGCGCATCGCCACCAGCAGCAGGAGGAGCACCGCCAGTGGGAGAAGTGGCACGCCGCGGCGTGGCCGGCACATGGCTCTAAGGAAGTGTGTGTGGGTGCGTGTGTTTGTGTGTTTGTACTTGAGTTGCGTTTGAGCAGCAGCGGTCGCGGCGGCAAAGACAGCCGTCTGCGGGAGGGGACGCAAGAGGACGAAAAAAAAAAAGGGGGGGGGGGGAGGAAGGCAAGCGGGAAGCGGGGCAGGAGGAGCAGCTGCAAGAAGGCGGCCTCATGCCGAGGCAACAGGCGCCACGAAACGGCAATCGGGAAGAGAAAGGAATATAACGGGGCGGAAGCCAAGTTGCCTCCGCTGCTGAGATGGCGCCCTCAAGACGCAGGCAGACAAACAAAACAGTTCAACAAACCAAAACGGGAAACGCAGTGAGTGGAGGATGTTCATCGCGCAAGAAGCGCTGGCAGGAACTGCGGCCGCGCACCCCGCACTGCGGCTCTTTTGCGGCATCGTCCTTTCCCACGTCTCTTCGGCCCCCCGCTGGAAAACTACGGGGGGTGCGGTTTTTGGCCGCCAGCGCACCCTACGGGGTGCGGGGGTAGAAGAAGGTGTAAGTGATAAACGAAAATATTTCGGGTGCCTTCTGGAGCTATGAAGGGGAGCAGCGGGGCCTCGTTTCGCAGGGACCGCGTTGTTGTTGTTTACCTTCCCCATTGTTTTTTTTATTTGTCCGTTTCTTGTTTAGTTTTTTTTGATCGATTTTATGTGGGAAGGATAACTCTGGTTACCTTGCCGGTGCTATGGGTCTTGACACCGTATATTTTTACATATACATGCGTATACGTTTGTATATTATTTGCACGTTTCTTTACAAATTTATCTTGACTCTTTGCTTGGGTTGTAGGGGATGTTTTGCTTGCGCGACGTTATTTCACAATTGCCTTGCGATGGGGCTACTAGGTGGATAAAGGTTGAGAATGTGATTTCACCCATGTCAAGCACTGATGTAATGAAGCTGTTTCCAGAGGCCGTAAGTTGGAAGTTCGCTTCTCACGTACAAAGAACAGATTTTGTTGTGTGTTTCCCAAATGAATCCGTTGCAAGGATCGCAATGCGAAGGGTGGCGGGCCTGTCTTTTCTGGGTCAAAAAATGAAGTTTAATTTTATACGTGAGAATGGCGAATCGGAAAACGCTTTACCCGTTAGACTGACCAGCTCTTTTCCCAGGCTTTACTTTCTGCCCCCGGAAGTTTCCTACGAGAGCCGTCGTAGTGATGCAGACCGCATCGTGACCTCCGTTGGCGTAACCACTCTGTCTTCTCAAAATTGGGTAGACGCACGCTAACAAAAGTGACATAGGGTCATTTTTTTTTCCACTTGGTATGCATGGGGCTGAGTCTGTGCTTCTTCTGTTGGTGGATTGGGTATTTGTTTTTGTTTCCTTCCTTCACTCTCCCTCGCCCTCGCGCGCGCTTATTATCATCGCCATTATTATTTCCTTGTCTTGTCTTTTTTTTTTCATCTTGCACTAATTAGCATGGCGTCTTGGGATCCTGGGAGTTACGTTGCGGAGGCCTTGTCACGCCGCATAAGAGCATTTGCAAGGCAGGAAAAATACAATAACATACCCTCCTATTACGATGCAGTTACGAGCTCTCTCCAGGCGCATGAAGATTCCAAATATGCTGACGCAGTCTTAGAGAAGCAATTCAAGCAGAATGTGGGGATTGATGTCGATGTTTGGGGAAAGCCTTTCACCGTTGTCGTAAATCCACGCGACGTAAGAGGTCTATCAAATGTAAAGAAATCGGTGGAGACTATTATACAAGAGTCTCTAAAGGCTACTGAGACAATCTCTCTGGAGCTTTCGGATTTAAATGGAAAAGGAGGTGTGTTTCCGGTGACTGAGGAACTCTTTGGGATTTTAAGTCACGTTCGGGAGATGAGCTTGTTGACTGGTAATCGGTTTGTCCCCACCTCGGAGGGGAGAGGATTATCCTCAACTCTGCATCAGGAACCAAGCGTACTGAGTGGACTGGTAATGGCCGATGATTTTAAAATTCATTGGCCTAAAGGAATGTCACTTGTCCTTGATGAATACATGAAGGCCTGGTTCGTCGATCATGTTGCTGTTCGACTAAAAGCACTGAACGAGTTTCTGGGGTTCTTGGCCAGTTATGAAGGCTTCTCGAGGGCATTTGGTCATCCGCGGGAGAGCGAAGTGTGGAGAAGCGGTATACCTGGAATCCGTGGCAAGGACAAAAAACAATATGTTACCAGCTTGGAACTTTATGACGAGAAGAGTGCTATTGTGACACAAATTGCGCCGCAGTGCTTGGCTGACCCGTTTGGCATGCAGTGTTCTACCGCAATCTGCCGAACGACAACCACTGCCTACTGTCTTTCCAGAACACTTTCTGAGGGTGGAGACAAGGAATCGGTTCTAAAGTTTGTACACGAATGGCGCAAAAATCACGATCCAGAGAGCAGGCAGGCTCTATTTTCATTCTTGCTCATCTACGGAGATGGGAACTCTATTTCGGATTTAACTGACAACGATGTCGGCGAAAATGATGCTCTCCGGCTTCAACTTCATGACAGCAAGATTCAGGCATCACAGGCGCACCAACAAATTGAAAAAAAATGAGTTATGAAGAGTGTGCCAGAAAGGCCTTATTGCGAACGAATTGTTCCGATGGGTTTCATCTCATGTCGGCAGAACATGATGGTACCTTGGAGACTGAAATAAAAAGATGTTTTTCAACACTTCCCGTGCCGTGTGTTGTGGCTTCCTATGCTGATTGTAGAGAGCACGTATGTGTAAGTCCTGTAAGCTGTATGGGGATCTCTGAGTGTGATGATAAATGCACGCTTTGTCTGGCCCAGACTTCGCCTCTATATAATTATGTGTATGCGGTGGGGTCACGGGTGACTTTGAACTTTTTTCATACGAATGGAGATGTGACATATGACAATATACGAAAAAACTACCCCGCTTGGATAAATCAAACTGAAAATGAGGCCCTTTTTTTTGAATACCAAGGTGGACGTTGTGTAACTACAACTATTCTCAAGAAGGAATGTACACAAGCTGCCTTTATGACAATGGAATCCATCTTGCTTGGTGATCAACTTTTTGTTATTGGGCGTTTTTTATGCGATACTCCACGTAATGTTTTGTTGAAGAAGGGAGATCTTTTTTATACGACT